GAAATTTCCAAGATAAAGAAATTTATAACGAGTATTCAGTAAACTGACGTGTCGTGGCATTGCCTCAACCTTGGATTAAAATTTTAATTAAATGCATTATAATATTAAAATTATACCGAGTGAGAGAAAAAATACTTTAAGAAATTTAAAACCAGACACAAAGCGTAGGCACTGTCACAATGTATATGTTTATGGGACCCAAGGGCAGGAGGGTCCAAACGTTAATGTATTAATATTATGTCCTTTGGCAGTGAGGACAGACGTTCACTTGAACGTCATTTTCACAAACCACAGTTGGGACGTTTTCTTTTGACTTCTCCTTGGTGATTTTTCACCGGGTTGTGCCATAAAAAAGCCATCTATCACCGACTAAAAAAAGCTCATGGCGACCATCCTCAGTCACCACCTTATAATCGCTTTCTATGATATCGTTCCCTTCCAGCACATCGTCCAAATAATTACCTGTGAAAAAAATCGTCAGCATACAACGGCGCTTTGACATTACTGATCTCGAATTCTAACGCGAAATAACGCATATGAAATTTATCTCCAAGCTGAGGAGAGCGACGCAGACGAAACCTTGAGAACGGAGGCCCCCCCGTAGCTAGCTCCGCCCACCATAACAGACATCGGACAATAGAAAGGCTTGCGTGTAATCTCCTTCTGTTATAACTCCTTGGGCAGACCGGCTGCGGTCTGCCTAAAATTCCGGTCTGCGTAATGCTGGCGTTTAAGTGCGAATGGTCTACCTATTGCTGGAAGCAGGACTATATATATATATATATATATATATATATATATATATATATATATATATGCCTATACTAATATATTAAGGGCAATAGAGAGATTTAAAAATGTGGGTCTTTTAATAAAGAAATTATACACAGCTGACAGGCCATTATTTACATGAGGGCCCTGAGTAGCTTATACATGTAAAGATATAAAGCTCAACAATACCTTTCAGCGTCTTCTCTCCCCTGTATACACGGATTTTATCATCGAGGTCCTGGTCAAGTCGGAATACCAACAAGTAGATGATCCGTTCTGAGAGGAACGTTTGGTGCGTGGTGTAGTAGACATCCTGACCTGCAAAATCCCAAATTGTGACCTGTTTCTCTGGCTCCACATGTTCTCCTCGGGCAATTTTCTCGATTTTTTCCAATAGCTCCTTGTCAATATCATCTAGATGGTCCCTTTCTGCCACTGCGAGGAATAAAATAAGCTATGTCCAAACTAACTGATTTTAGCATAATGCATATTGTAATGTATTGCAATGTGTGCATATTCATCATATTCATCATATTAACCACGCAGTATATTTTATAAAAATAAATAATTTAGATTGAAAATGCGTCTAATAACATCAATTGGCTTGTGTGCTTTCTTCGGGGGGGTGGGGGGGGGGAGAGGAAGACTAGATATTAATATTAATAGACATGCTTTCAATCTAATTTATTTAATTTGTTAGGGATCGTTCATACATCGACATTCCGTCAACATTCTTATACTACCCATTAGTCTGGATGATTGGTGCTATATATTGGCCAAATTGCTCAGAGTGTGGAAAAAGCGTAAAACCTGGCACAATTGTTCTTTGAACTATGCTGATCATTTTCAAGGGCAGTGCCCAAAATTTCAAAGCATTGCTTAGCAACCTTTGCTATGGAAGTGTATTTTCTTACTAACAAGCTAATAACCTTGCGCACGTTACATGTCACAGGTCTAGCGTAACTACCCACTTGCTACGATTTTTCAATTGGGCGGGCAGCAAGCGGACATTTTGTACAGGAGCAACGCAAAGATGGGTGAGAATGATATGTTGTTTTTAACCGAAGACGATGTCCCCAGGACGAAACTGCCAACACCAAAAGTAAAGGAGCATACCAACGTTGTTTTGAAACGATGTGGTTAGCCTGTCGTTGGCGAGTTGGGGAGAAAAGAGCAGCACTGATAGCAAAGTACTGTGTGCACGTGAACCAGCAAAGTTAATGATAATTTCATGTTGCAAAAGTATAGTTAAATTAGTTATTTTCCAAACGATATTTTTTGAATAGCAGATACATAGATCAAACTAACAAAAAAAAATTGATGACAATCAAAACCTGCGGTGCACGATAGGTTGGGGAGGACACTGCCACAGCAAGTAATGCATGAATTATGTTACATAACACCATATGCTTGTGTCGTTGTTAACTCTGTAGTACATGTATTATTACTGCTCAAATTAATACCTGATATTATTTCTCAAGCTACCAAGTACAAATCAACTTAGTTTTGCGGCAATTGACCTCCATGTTCCATCATGTTTATTATTATTTGTTCAAGCACATTTTGATAAAGTGGCTATGCTAAAACAAGAAAAAGTCAAAATTTATGCTGAAGTTTAAAAGATTAAATCATCAGTAGTATGTACAGTTAAAGCTATTTGATTATGCATATTTGATTTTCAATTATCTTGATTATGATATGAGGTTTCTGCCTTTTTCTCTTGCCCTCAATTCAATAAATAACAAGTAAATTGATAGTGCTTTATTACAATTTTTGCTTTATACTTTCAGATGTGAAAACTGTGTAGCTGTTGGTAAAGCTGTAGAGATTGATGTGAGCATAGATCAGGGGAAATGGTATTAGAGAAACTGGGTGGAAAAAAACATAGATAATGTACTAGTAGATCCATCATCACAGCAAGGGTAGTTGGTGTGATCTTGTCCCTGAAGCTGTACCAGCAGGGTTATATTGCAGTAATATCTGTTAATGTTTCTAAAAATAAGCTTCATGTTTGATAATTAATTGGTTTGAAATAAATAAATAAATAAATAAATAAATAACCCAAATAAAATCAATTCATTTTATATTTCACATAATATGTTTTTATTATTTCTTTTAACTAAGCATTTAATTATAACATTTCCCATCATTATACTGTTATTGTGTAATAACATTGAAAGGTTCCGAGTTTTTTTTTTTTTTTTTTTTTTTTAACAGGTTATTACACATAAATATAAGCATCAAAGCATATTTCCATATTGAAA